CGCCCCAGAGAATGTGTCTCATCTGGAGAGCTTGGATCCTGCGGACCTTTCCCCTGATTTCCAGGAGGTCACACAACGTTTCTGCAAGTTTGTCTTTGACAAGAGTGAAGTGAAGAAGCTGAAGGACGGATACACCATCACTGGCAGAGGTGATTCAATGGGGATTCTGAAATGATCTGACCATAAATTTGCTATAATTGAAAATGTACAATACAATTAGTATAAATATATATTATGTAATTAAAATAATTATAAAATAATTAACCATAAAATATGACCAAATTTACCACATTCATTTACACAAGTAAATTTCTTAGTTTGGCACAGTTGTCAGCTGTTATGAAGTAGTAATAAGACATGTCTTTTTCTGTAGTTTGCTGAGCTGCTGTCAATAGAGGAACCATGTTTTGGGTTAAGATACCGGAGGGGGGGTGGGGTGGGTTGTGCTTGTTGCGCTATATTGTTATTGGTTATATACTCTGCCTGGCAAAATGTCTCTGGCATGTTATATGTTTGGCAGCAATTCTTTTAACCCTAACTGATGCAGTGTGTAGCTTTTCATTTCTTAAACAACCATGTCAAAGTTCATTTGATCCAAATTGTGAAATAGAGGAATCATTTTCATGTTTCATTTTCACTACAGAGTTTTGAGCTGAACCCCACTGAAAGTCTTTGGGATGTGCTGGAGTCGACTTTACAGAGCCGCTCGACTCTCCCATTTTCAATACAAGATCTCTGCCAAACATTAATGCAACTCTTGATGGAAATAAATGTTATGATGTTGCATAATATTGTCGAAACAATGCCACAACGAAAGCACAATATGATCAAAGATAAATGCCATCCAAGAAAAATATTAAAGTGTGCGACTTTTTTTTGGACAGGCAGTGTAAAGTTGACATCCAAAAGACTTTCAGTGGGTTCAGGTCAGGACTCTGTGGTGGCCAGTCTTTCACAGTTTGAGCCTGATGAATCTTGTCATTATTATGCTGGAATATGGACATGGGTACGTCTATTGACATGGTTCTTTGAGAAATAAAAAGCTATGCTGCACTGCATCAGTTAGGGTTAAAAGAATCGTTGCCAAACATACAACATGCAAGAAATATATGATTCACTGCAATAATGATCAATGATAATGAATAATGATCAAATTGCAACAATCAATTCTAACATCTTAAAAAAAACATAAAATATTTGCTTATTTAACTCCAGATGGTGACTTGTTTGGCCAGGCAGTGTATGTTACCCCCATACCAGTAGGGAGACAGACTGGTTTCTTAATTGAATGTTCTTATGTCTTTGTGATTTAATAGCATTATACTGAGAGACATAATGTAAGCTAAATGCTAAACATTCCTGCTAAAATATATTGCATAAACTGAGTATCAGATATTACCATTATTTTCTGAACTGCATATTATTAATATACAGGTTGCAAGTTAACGTTCTTTTGTGTGACCCTTCTCCTCCTCTGAAGTCCTGGGTCAGTTTGCGAAGACATATGTAGACATGATTTCCAGCGGTGAAGTTCCATTTCTGGAGAATGCAGTCATGGCCATGGCACTGATTGAGAATGCGGCCGCGGTGAAGGAGGGGCTTGAGGTGTACCAGAGTGGAATGGAGAAGCTGAAGACGTCCTTCCCCCTGGAACTGAAGGAAGCATCATCAGAGCATCAGTGTCTCAGCAGGACTGCAACACAGGCCCTAATGAAGCGTTCCTTCAAGGACAGTGAGGGGACATACCTGAAATCTCTAGAGGTGATGAGCATTAAATAGTTATGTACAATTTCAATTAGACTGTTATTAAACACACTGGTCAGGCAAAATTCATGAGTCAAAGTTCCCTATAGTTAAACTTTTGGTATTCAAGGATACATTGAAATTAGGTGATGGCTGTTTGAAGGGAGTTCTGGGCATATTTGGCCAGAAAGAATCGACACCATTCATTTTTTATTTGATTTTTTGGCTGTAATGAATGATATGACATTTTAACCATTCAAAGACATCTAAATACACCATCACATTCAACTTTTGATTCAGATTAAATGTTATTTTTGAAGTAGTTGTAGCCTCTAAATGGTGTTTTAAGTTTACTGTCTCTGATATTTTGTGTGATGCTGCAGGAAGGCATTAATAAACTCTTTCATGGATACTTGTGTCAAAATGAGGAGGCTTCAAGGAAAAGATGTGAGAATATTCTGTCATCCCTCTCTGGAACAATGACAGAGAAGCTGAAGAAAGGATCCTATGCCATACCTGGTGGTTATGTTCTCTTCTCCCAGGACCTTGAAGACATTGTGAAGAAATATAAAATCCAAGCCAATAAAGGAGTCAAGGTGATTATCAATGTTTGACACAATTACTGCCACAACCTAGGCCTTTTAGATAGTAAGAGATCTCTGTAAGAGGCTTGTAAGTGTTTTCCTAGACTATGTGTACACATAATATAGAATCAGCTGGGAATAATAGTGTTCCTGGTTTGAATCGTTCTGGCCAAAATATTGAAGTGGCCTTCAGCAGGACACTAACTACTTTAGTGGCTGAGACATTGACACTTTGTATGGTAGACTCCACCACTTGTTTATTTGTTGGTTGATTTGGACCAAAGCAGAACTGCTTGATGAAATTCCTTGTTCTGCTGCAACATTGTATATGACAAAACATGTGTCAGTTGTGATGTAAAACCAAATTCCATGACACTCATGCACAATGCATAGTTGGCCCTAGTATTAGTAGTAGAAGTAATTTTTTGATAGTACTAGTCATAGAGATGTGGTAGTGGTGATTCACGTTATCATGTATGTGGTGTCCACAGGTAGAAGACACACTTGAAGAGTTTCTGAAGCAGAAGTCGGTGGAGTCTAATGCAATTCTGCAGGCTGACAATAAACTGACGGAGAAGGAGAAAAAAATTATGGGTGAGAGTTTTTAGCATGAAACAATAGCTCCTTCTAGAGGAAAAAAACCAGTTCATCAGAGAAATGGTGCCTGCTTTACAGTGACACTAAAAACATATTAGTCAAATGCAGTGTATTCCTTCCATGTTCCATACTAAAATGGCTGTTTCATCTAATGATATAAACTTATTACATTTCTTAAAGAAAAAAGTATTGACCGGGGAATATCAGGTACTCAAAAGCGAGACTATGGGTGCTCCAGAGAGGGAACAAAATGTCAAAAACAAAAAGTGGATCCCATTGCAAGAAACAAAAATAATCCACGTCAAAGTTACATTTCTTGCATGTCAAATGTTGTTAGAATTACATAGTTATGAAGAAAACGTCACAATAGCCTTAATTGTCTTATCACCTGCATAAAATTAAGCTTAGCAGAAATGTTTTGTTAGGGAGGCGATTAAACTGCACTGCAATCATGGTGCATCATTTGAATCAGGCAGAACTCTTCACTTATGGGTTTATGATGTGTATCACTTGGGCTATATTGAGACTGCTAGCAAAAATCAGATTTTTTTTTTTGCAGATTCATCCAGATGGTTGTTTAAAGTCTGGACAGCAAAAAAAAAAATCAGTTATTTGCAAATCTGATTTAAGCCACATTTGGAGCACATTTATTAATATTAAGCCTAAAATGTGTTTTAATGTTAGATATAAAATCAGTCTTTAAATTCAAGATATTTAAAGTGTACCTGAAGTATACGTGCAATATTTCCACTTTAACACAATCAAATATACTTCACTATATCTTTAGTTGGACTTCAGCACTGCTTCTGCACAATTATGAATTAAGTACAAAATTAGTTTTGCCAATTTAGCAGACTTTAAGTATACCAGTTAATATACCAAAAGTAGAATTAAAGGGTATTTTTTATTAAGCACATAAATATGTAAATGTATTTGTATGTTTGAAATAAATGTATTTCAAATACATTTTAGTATATTCATATATACAGCAGGAGTGTCAAAATCAGTTCCTGGAGAGACGCAGTCCTGCAGAGTTTAGTCCCAACCTGCTCCAACAATCACACCATGTGGTTTTCAAATGAGCCTGAAGGTCTTGGAGCTAAACTCTTCAGGGCTGTGGCCCTCCAGGAACTGAGTTTAATATTACATGCTTTATTACATTTGCCTGATTGTCTTCTACCAGAGGAAAGAGAGAAGGCCGTTCTCCTGGCTCAAGAAATAAACACCAAGGAACAGAAGCAGCGGCAGCTAGAAGAGAAGATGGAAGCAGAGAGAAGGAGTAATGAAGAGAGGATGAAACAGATGAGGGAGAAGATGGATGAGGAGATGCGGCTTCAGAGAGAAGAGGCTGAGCGTGCCATGGACAGCAAACTGAGGGAGCAGGCCGCTCTGCTGGATAAGGGCTTTCAGGAGAAGGCTGACAGGATGTCTGTAGAGATGGAGGACTTCAGGAGGAAGAATAAAAATGCAGAGAAGGAAAGTCACAAACTGTTTGAAAAGATGATAACAAACATGAACAAAAGACACACTGAGAATATGAATCTGATGAAGAGGCAACACAGCGAGCAGATGGAGGCAATCATGAGCATGCCGAAGCCCTCGTCTGACTCCTCCGCTCTGGTCTTGCGTCTGCTACTCATTGGTCTCAGCAGCATTACCGGTGGCTCACGTCCCTGTTAAAGCAGTCATCTATCCCTGTTAAAAGCCATCTGTCTGACAGACGCTTTCAGCCAAAGCAATCTACATGTTAGATGAATGAACTAGTGATGGAGGCAGTCCATCAGGGTTCCATATCATCAGGAGCATGTGGAGTTCAATGCCTTCTGTAATACTGGAAACATTATGTGTTTTACAGTGAATTTCTGGCAGCTGACACTTTTTAATCCCCTTTATCTTTATGCCAAAGATCTTTATACCAAATGCTATTGTTTGTACAGAAACTGTATTTTAATATTATTAATCCCTCCCCAACCAACCCATAACAAACTGCCTAATATAAATAATAATAATAATAATAATGATGATAATAGTGATCCCAATAATGGTAATAGAAAATCAAATACATTAAAGATGAATGATTTAATAGTTAAATAATGATGAAAAATAAAGTAATTAAAAAAAATAAATAAAAAGGTAATTGGATACCACAATCAGGAATATTACAATGTAAATTCGCCGTAATGAACAACATAAACACTGCATAAGAGAGGGGTGAAAAAGAAAGAAGAAATTGCAATAACAATGTAAATCACATTACTCCACAGGAAGTACATTTTTAGCAGAGAAATATTATACAGTATAACATTAAATCCTGAAGCCAGTGTGACACTTTGGGCAGATTTGTAGATTTCCAATGTAATAAAACTTGTCTGCGAGCCAATGAGGATGCAAAGGCAATAATGTTTAGTTGTCTTTGAGTCAAATTTGATTAATCACCTGGAGCACCAAATATTGCAAATTCAGCACATGGCTTCAACAGGGCTTCACACACTTTAGAAAGTGCATCAAATATGGTTGACCAGTACGCAGTAAGTGTGGAGCACGTCCAGAACATGTGAGTCAGGTCTGCTTCACCTGTGTGACACCTAATACAGGTCCTGTCAAAAGTAGGATTAAAGGAGGCAATCCGTGTTCTGCTTAAATGCATACGGTGCAATACTTTAAACTGCATTAAACTCAATCGGGCACAAGAGGTACTTCCGTTCACTCTATGGAGGGCATTGCTCCAAAATTCCTCTGAAAATACTACTCCGAGCGCTTTCTCCCATCTGCATCTAATCTTGTCTGTTCCAACACTTTTTAAGGACATAAGAATTAT